GCCACCACAACCCACTCCAGTCTGAGGCCATATTCATGTTTGTAGCCCAGCAAGCACTTTGGCTGTCTTACAGGTAATACATATGTGCAGAGTAAATGAAAACCCGTGAGTGAAGATTTGTTCCTCCTGTTCATTTGCTTATCAAACTGCCACACAGGCTTAGAGAGGACTCAAGTGTAGTAGCTTTCATTAGGCTAGAATAACCGTTCTGCAGTGAGGTTTTCCCCACTCACTCGTAGACAGAAGTAGAAGCTTGTTTGCTTAGTGCAGAGCACAAAGGAAGCGGGCTGCTTAATATACTCAGTGATGAGAATCTTTGGAATGCCAGACACGCCCAGGCTCAAATATGCAAGCATACAAGCACACTCCAGATGGAAATTTCAATGCCTGCTTTTCTTTTCTTCTGCTCTACTGGTTAGTCCCTCTTGCTAGTGAATCACAGGCCACAGATATTGGTAAATAGGAAAACCAATGGTTATGAACTGCTTCACTCTGTGGATTGCAATACAAATTTTTTAAACCACTAAGGCTGCTTGACAAAAACTAGAAAGAAGTGGAAATCTTCCAGTCTCGTTTAGGGTAGTTTTGTACTTAAAGTACCAGTGTTTGCCAGTCATAGTGGCACATCTTTAAATTCCAGCACTCAGGGAGGCAGAGGGAGGTGGAGCTCTGTGAGTGGAAGGCCAACCTGGTCTACATAGTGAGTTCCAGGCCAGTTGCGGCTACGTGGAGACCCTGTCTCAAAAAACAAAGAAACAGGGCTGGAGAGATGGCTCAGTGGTTAAAAACACTGGTTGTTTTTGCAGAAGATGGAGGTTTGAATCCCAGCGCCCACATGACAGCTAACAACTGTCCATAACTCCAGTTCCAGGGGATCCAACAGCTTCTTCTGTCCTCCGAGGGCATTGCATGACACGGTTGCACTTACCTACATGCAGGCAACACACTCATACACATAAAATAATTAAAAAACAAACAAAAAAAAAGAAACAAAACAAACCAAAGCCCAACAGAAGTATAGTTTTCTTCCTCTTATTGAGATGTGGGGAACCTACTAACAGATTCCCACCCCTTTTTCATTTAAATCAACAAGCACCTGATGGGGTTTTAGATTTTATTTTTGTTTTACGACAGGGCCTCCCCATGTAGCACAGGCTGGTTTTGTCTTCCTCCTGCCTCATCTTCCCTTGAGCTGGGGTCACGGGCCTGGGCCACTAAACACAGGAGTGTCTTTTCCTTGAGATATTGTGTTATACATTGCTATACTTAGAAAACGAAGAAAACAGTTTTCATAACAGCAATAGGAATCCCAGGAAGAAATGACTTCGTGGCTAGACTTCAAAGAACACTCACAAAGGTTCTCACGGCGGGGTGAGGGGGCCGCCAGGAAGCAATTTTTCGCCCAGCAGATTTTAGAATCTCGTTGCACCTATTAAATTTGTCCGGATGCAAACTTGCATTGGAAAATGAAATCTGGGCAGCAGTAAGAGTGTTAAAGGACTTGGGGGCACTTTAAAAACAATTGCTATTTTATGTAAGTGTATTGTCTCCATGTATGTTAAGTGCACCTGTGTCCTTCAGTGCCCATGGAGGTCAGAGTACATATATATATACATATATATGTATATATACATATACTTTTTCTTGATTTTTATATGTATCAGTGCATTGCTTGCATGCATGTAAGCGCACCCGTGTCCTGCAAAGGAACGCTTTTTAATTTGTTTTTAAATTAGCCGTGACCGTGGAGCCCGTCCCTTTAGAAATGCACTGTTTACGGAGTAAACAAACGGGTAACCACAGAAACACCTGCTAATCCTGAGGCTTCTGAGCCGCCCGCCTCCTCCCAGCCACATCCGGGCAGTTCCCTACGAACGTCTGACGTCATCACGCGCCAACCGTTTGGCCTATTTGAAACCCACGCACAGCCAATCAATCTGCGCTCCCTGGGGGCAGGCATTGGGCACCGACCAATCAGCGGCCTCCTCGCGGCTCCAGCCTATGAACGCGAGGCTGGCAGCGCGCGCCAATCGGCATGGCTCTTAGAGAGAGCCGCTGCGATTTTGAATCTCCGGCGGCCCCGGAAGCCATGGCGGCGCAGCTCGGGCGAGTCGGTGTCTGAGGAGGACAGCGTGGGAGTGCTTGGTTGGATTTGAGTTTTGAGCGTGGTGAGGACTTGAGAGGGTGGGGTGCGGGAGGGGACGCGGGTGTCCCGGAGCCGTGCGCCGCGAGGAGCCCCCGCCACGGGGAGGCCGCTCGGTCCCGTCCTCCACCCGCATCCCGGTCCTCCATCTTCTCCCCGTCCTGCACCCTCACCCCCGCCCTCCACCCTTTTCCCCATCCTCCATTCTCGACCCGCTGCGGGTCCTCCATCCGCATCCCCATCCTCCATCCCACCGCAGACTTTCATGCCGCTGTCTAGGTCCTGGTCATCATCCTCCCCTCACTCAGCTTCCTCACTCCCCGCTCCGGGCGCCGGTGGGTGAAGGACCCAGCTGAGACTGGGATTTTGGCCGACCGCCCTGCGGCAGCCCTGAACTGATAACTATGTGGTTTCCCTTAGGAATAGCTGTAGGATTCCGATTTTCATTTTCATTTTTTTTTAAATGCAAAACTCTGGTCGGCTAGTCCTTTCCTGGCCGCAGATGTGTGTGGTTAGTGGTTAACAAGTGCAGCTTCTGGTCTTAGCTCAGCCCCGGACTTGTAGCGTTAGCAACTTTCTGTGGCCATAAAATAGAGATGACAGTTTCTGCTTGTTAGGGTGGCTGCAGAGGTTAAGCAAACCCAAGGAAAAGGTTTAGGACAGTGCCTGTAACATTAAGCTCTAAGTAAATGAGAGTTGTTAGTAATTCCATTAATAACATCAACATCATCACTGTTTTGGAAACATGCCTTTTTTCTGAAAAAGCGTATTTAAAAGGAAAACTTAGGGGGTTGGAGAGATGATTT